AATTATTTGTTTTGTTTTTTATAGCTTTTGTAAGGTTAAAGCAAAATTTTTTGCGTTCTTCACCAGCCAATCAGCGCTCAATAATCACATAGAAGAAAAAAAGAATATCGAATCGAACAATTGAGTTTTTTCTAAACTAAAAGAAAAAAATTTAACTCTAATGTCTTTATTATAATTTAATAATGAATTTTCAATGTTGTATTTTCGAATAGATTTTATCTAAATAACTATTAATTAACTATTCTAAACGAAGAATAGAAAAAAAAATGAACAAATATTTGTATTCAGAACTATCTTACTTCAAAACTAATGATAAAACATTGAATAAAATGTACTTTTAATCATCAACTTATTTTTCAACAAAAATAAATATATTTAAAATGAATTAAATTTACAATGACTTTCATTTCAATAGAAAATTACATGACAACCATCCTTGATTTTTTTTCAAACAATATCATTTATCTAACACATCTATGCATTTAATAATCCATAAAATGTATTCTATGGATTTGTCAACTAGTATTCAAACGAAAAGAACAGAACAATGCGAAAAGGAGGGAAAGTGAAAATGATACTTTCTCTTCTTTGTAAAAACAATAGATGGAACCATATGGTGCTTCAACATCATTTGCATCAGTATCATCATCATCATCATCATCATCTTGAAGTAACATATGTCTGTTTCTTTTTTCTTTTGATTCCGAATAATGGTAATGCGTCGACGTACTTTTTTAAAATATTTAGTTTTAATTCCAACTTTATGGATTATTGCAATATTAACATTTTCATTTCGTACTGATTCTTCATCAATACCTCAAATAAATAATGATATTCCAATTAATGTTATTAATCAAATAGCATCAGTACCATCATTAGTTGATCGTATTAGAAATGTTCTACCATTTATACAACACAATAATGATCATGATCATCCATCAGAAGAACGTATTAAAGCTCATGAACAAGAAAGAGAAATGAATGCTAAAGTACAAATTGTTGCACCAGAAAGAAATAATCATCATGATCAAAATATGAGTGGTCCCGGTGAAATGGGTAATCCAATACGAATAAAAAAAGATAAATTAACAGAAGATGAAAGAAAAAAATTTGATGAAGGATGGAAAAATAATGCATTTAATCAATATGCTAGTGATATGATATCAGTACGACGAACTTTAGCTGATGTTCGGGATCCTGAGTAAATGAATTATATATGAAATCATTATTTGTCATTGTCTTTTTTATTTTTCTATCTATAATTTAGATGTAAAAAAGTTGAATTTCATCCAAATTTAGCTGAAACATCAGTAATTATTATATTTCATAATGAAGCACGATCAGTATTATTACGTACTATTTGGTCTGTTCTTGATCGTTCACCAGAACATTTATTAAAAGAAATAATACTTGTTGACGATTTTTCTGATAAAGGTTTGTGTTATTGGTAAGTTTGAAATAAATAATAAAAAACTTTTCATTCTTTTTCTTACAAGAACATTTGAAAAAAATGCTTGAAGATGATATTAAACCAATGAAAAAAGTTCGATTACTTCGTACAGATAAGCGTGAAGGTCTTATACGAGCTCGTCTAATGGGTGCTGTGGATGCCAAAGGAAAAGCTTTAGTCTTTTTGGATTCACATTGTGAATGTGCTGAAGGTAAGTTACAAAAGAGCTATTTGAGATTCGATCATATGCGCAGGATAGAACTGACTCCTTCTTAATCTTGAAAAGTTTTTATTTTCCTACAGAAAAACTAAACAAGATTTCTTTTTTGTTCTTTCTTATCCATCGATTCGTGTGATAAGAGCCGAGATTTTCTCGAACGGCTTCTCGAGAAATGTAGTTTATTCTATTTTTCTTTTATGCTTTTCAAACTACGATGACTTTCATCTTTTTCAGTTCTTTTGGGCATGTGTGGATGCTAGTACTTCGACTGCCCACACCAGTAATCGATTTAGAGGAACGATTATCCTTCTTCTTATAAGATCGTTTTCAATTTTTCCTGGTAGAAAAATGCTTGAAAATGAGCTGGCATTACCTCTAATGAGCTTCAAAACATGTTTTATGATCATGATTGTCCACCACTAATCCTCATCAGTATCGAAAAGAATTGAAACGATCAAAATATTCTTATAGTTTTCAAAGGTGTGTACGCATAAAACGAAAATGGGATTAATCGAATTTCTCATGGATCTATGCTTGGGTTCTAGCAATTATGATACATTGACTTTTAGAAGTAATCCTTTGAATGCTGAATTTAGGTTTCTTTTCCTAGATGATTCTTGAGATATAAGCGTTCTATTTCTATTACCATAAAATATTCATTACTTCTGACTTTGTCTTTTTACCAAAGCCTAGCATTGACTCTATTCCATCTAACAGTATAAAAATACAGAACAACAATTCAGGTGAAGAAGATTGTTTTATTTCAAAATTGCACTAAATACTCGAGAATGTCTTTCGATTATTTACACAAAGTATGACACTTAACTGGTATATGATTCGAAAAATTCATTTGATAATAACACACTTGAAGTATACATTGGGAAATAAGGATCATCTATTGTACCATATCTTCTATAATTAATTTCTATCATAATGGTGTGAAAATATAGTCATTCAAAATATGGAAGTAAAAGACAAATAGATGAAATATTGTTAAACAGACTTCATACCCAAGCAGACAAACCTTTGAGAAAACGCGTTTAAAGGCACAGAAATTGTTCTAAAATCGGCAAAAAGTGGACGTTATTGGTTCACACTCGTGATTCTCGATTATGAGCCAAAAACACCCATTTTTCGTGCATTTAAACGCGTTTTCACACAAGAAACATGTGTACACGCCTACAAAAAAGAGAAAAAAGTTGTCGTGTTTTTCCAACTTGAAAAAAGTGACTATAATCATGATTATGCATCTCGAGTATGAGAAAACGACCACTTTTTCTCTTTTTTATATGCATGTACACTCTCATTTCTTGTGTGAAAACGCGTTTAAATGTATAAAATGGACGAAAAATGGGTGTTTTGGGTTCACAGTCGGAAACCGCGAGTGTGAGCCAAAAACGTCCTCTTTTTGCCGATTTTAGACTAATTTCTGTGCGTTTAAAGGCGTTTTCTCAAAAGTTTGTTTGCTTGTGTACACATTCTAGGCTCAAGTTATTCTATTTCACATCTTTTTTTACTTCCCGTATATTTGTAACCAAAATTAATAACATATTTCCGATCGTCCGACAAAATTTTTGTGTTTGCGAGTTATTCAAAATTAAGAAATACTAAAAAAGTGTACATAATTCTGTACACTGCTCTTCAAAGTGTAAAACATGATTAAAAGTTATAACAATGATGAGATACAGACTTTCATAGATATTAACCTTAATCTTTTACAAGAAATTCATTTAAAATATTAGGATAACAATACATAATTTTATTCTTTAGGATGGCTTGAACCATTATTAGATCCTATTGCACGTAATCCCAAAGCATCAGTTGTACCATTAATTGAAATTATTGATGATGGAACATTTGAATTTAAAGCTACACCAATAGAAGGTATTCAAGTAGGTGGATTTGATTGGAATCTTATTTTCAATTGGCATACGACACCACAAAGAGAAATGAAACGACGAAAAAATAGAACTGATCCAATTAGGTAAATAAAATTTTCTTTAAAACTAATTCAATATATGATTTTTATATATCTTAGAAGTCCAACAATGGCTGGCGGTTTATTTGCTATAGATCGAGATTGGTTTGAACAATTAGGAATGTATGATCCGGGCATGGATATTTGGGGTGGTGAAAATCTTGAACTTTCTTTTAAGGTATATTTTTAAAATAAAATTCTTTTATTTGATTAAGATATTTTCCTATATATTTAGCTATGGCAATGTGGTGGTGAACTTTTATGTGCTCCATGTTCACATGTTGGTCATGTCTTTCGAAAACGTTCACCATATAGTTGGCCTAAAAATGTTAATGTTGTTAGAAAAAATACTGTTCGTCTTGCTGAAGTATGGCTTGATGAATATAAAGTAATGAATGAATAAAAAGAAATATGTGTAGATTAATTTACTTTTGTTTTCGTTTTTTATTATTTAATAGCATTATTATTATGAACGAATTAATTATCAACTTGTAAGAATAGTTTATTTGAAATAGAAATTCGAATTGTTTGCTATTTATTTATTATTAAGGGTGATTATGGTGATATATCTGATCGATTAAAAATTCGTGAAAATCTTCAATGTAAACCATTTAAATGGTTTCTTGATAATATTTATCCTGAACAGTTTGTTCCAGGAGAAAGTTTATATTACGGCGAGGTTCGATTTAATTATTTTAATTCAATAAAGTCAAATATCTATTTTTTGTTTTTCTTCAAGATTCGAAGTCAAGGAAAAATAAATGTATGTATTGATTCACAAGAAGTCGAAGATCGTGATAGAGCTATTATTGGTTATCCATGTCATGGGCAAGGTGGCAATCAATATTTTCTTTACTCGAAAAATTATGAAGTACGACGAGAAGAAAAATGTTTAGATTATCCTGGAGGACATTTACGTGAACCCAATAGAATTGTTTCGATGACATGTCATTCAATGCAAGGAAATCAAATGTGGTTTTATGAAGTATACTGATAGTTTATGTAGATTATTTCGATTAGTTTATTTTATTTTTAAGGATGATATGATACGACATGCATCAGGTTATTGTATCGAACTATCAGCAATAAATTACAAAGATATTTGCATGAATACATGTGATCCATTGAATCCCTTTCAAAAATGGTCTTGGAAAAAACGTCTTGACAAAACGACGAACAATTTTTAATATTATTTTTTTAAAAATTTCTTTTATTCTATTTTTATTTTTTGTTTTCTTTTTGGTGCTGTTTTGATTTTTTTATAAATCGGTGATTGATTATTTATGCATAATTGTTATTACATAAAAGAAAAGTATTAAAGCTTGTTTTATTTGTTTTCTCTATAGATAAAGATGATGAATAATGATGGTACAACAGGAGGGAATAATGTTGGTCTTACACAAACAGATGATCAACAAATGGTGACATCAGCTGATCGTGAAAATTATATAACACGATTGTAAATAATACATTCGAAAAAAAAATTAAGATTCTATTTTAATTTACGAATGTATTTTTGTTTTTACTTTAGAACATATCATTTAGGTGGTAATAGAGAAATGGCTAAATATATGGATGATGAAGCAATTGCAGCAAGTGGTGGAAAAGCGGTACAATATTACTCTCGTCTTATTTAATATATATTTAGTTTATTTAGACAATATATAAAAAAACTCTTCAAACGTTATTTCAACGAAATCAACAAATGCTACAACAACAACAACAACAACAACAACAATCAAGCATGGCTTCACAGGTGATGAATGAGAATTGAAGTTTTATTTAAACGTTATATTTTTTATTATTTTAAAAGCAACAACAACAACAACAACAGCAGCAGCAGCAAACAATGTATATGACATCTCAATCAACTTCAATGGCTGGCATGTCTCAACAGCCACCTCCTACATATACAATGCAAGCACCATTATCAACATCATCATCATCAATCGCATCGTCAACAACAATGGTTAATATTAAACAAGAACCTCAAATACCAATGTCTAATGTTCAGATGAGATCAAATCCACAAAATCTTCCCATACAACAACAACAGATTAAACAAGAACTTATGGTACCACCGATACCACCACAACAACAACAGATTAAACAAGATTTAATGATACCACCAACACCGCAACAACAACAGCAACAGATTAAACAAGACTTAATGGTACCACCAATGCCTCAACAACAACAACAACAACAACAGATTAAACAAGAATTAATGGCACCATCTATATCGCAACAGCAATCAGGGATACAAGTTCAACAGATAAGACAACAACAACCGTCACAATATCATCCACAACAGCTATCGCAATATAATCAACAACAACAACACTCGCAGTATAATCAACAACAACAATCCTCGCAATATAATCAACAACAACAATCCTCGCAGTATAATCAACAACAACAATCCTCGCAGTATAATCAACAACAACAACAACAACCCTCACAATATAATCAACACCACCAACAACCCTCGCAGTATAATCAACAACAACAACAACAACAACCCTCGCAGTACAATCAACAACAACAACCCTCGCAGTATAATCAACAACAACAACAACCACCATCTCTCCCTAATCAATCTACAACAATTACACCTCAACAACGTACTATAGTTCAGGTAAATTATTATAATAGTTTTACTGAAAGAAAAGCTTGTTTTTTCATGGATTATACAGCATTTACAACAAGTACGTCAACAAAATCATCTTAATCAACAACTTGAATCGACTAATACTGCTCAATTACAGCAGCAACAACAACAACAACAACAACAGCCATCTAATTCTTCTACGTTACCACAATCATCATCCATAACTAATGGAGGAGCATCATCATCAACATTAACTCCTACGACATCAGGCGGTAGTTCAGATGAAAGTAAAAATATTTCAATTTTATGATGAATTTCTGTAGGAAATCTATTTAGTTTTGCAACAACTTCTTACTAGTCCAAATCCACCTAAACAACCTTCAAATGCTGTTCAAAATGTTGCACAAGCAAGACTACGTACTGTATGTAGAGAATAAAACTAACGAGGGAACATTCCCAAGTGTCACAGCGCTTTTGAGTCGATACTATAAGCATCATGTAGACCCTAATGGTCTATGAATAACCTAAAAAAAGTTCGTGCCGCTAGCTTATTGGTGTCGAGATATTGCATTTTTAGTTATTTTTAAGCAGAATGCCGTGGTCCCCCTCAGGGACATCAAGAAAACTGAGTTTTGAGTTTTCACTTGAAACTTTGCACACAACCAGGCCTTAATGAGAATAGTTTATAGTAAAAGTTTCAGAGCTTTTGGATGTTCATATCCTAAGATACGGCTATTATAAAATTGCTCCTATACATGGGCAGATTCGACGTTCGTGTTTCAGGATAAAACCAAAACAAAAGATCTGAAACTTTTACAATAAACTACTCTCATCAAGATCTATCTCTTTGCAAAGTTCTAAATCGAAATTCGAAAATTAGGTTTTCTGATGTTCCTGAGGAGGACCACAGCTTTCATTTTTTAAGAATACCGTAAAAATGCAATATCTCGGCACCAATAAGCTAGCGGCACGAACTTTTTTCAGAGTGTTCATAGATCACTAGGACCTACATGATGCTCATACTCTCGACTCAAAAGCGATGTGACACTTGGGAATGTTCCCTCGTAAGTCTAATCTTAATAACATTTTTATTTTTAGATCAATCGAACTGTTCGTAACTCATCCTTACCAACATCTCAAGTTCTTCAACAACCACCGCCAAGCCCAATGACACCGTAAATCAGAATATCTTCATTGGGATTAAAAAAATTTTCTAATGTTTATTCGTATTTTCAGAGGTGCTGATCCAATGATGATTGGTAATATTCCATCACCTCATTCTCATCCTGGTATGATGATGCAACAACCACAAACACCAATAGGACCACCTGGTCAAAGTCCATTAGCACGTTATATGATGGCCCAATCACCCCAAAATAGTATCTATCGTCCACAAATGTCTCCAATGAATATGATGAGTAAGATGATTTAAGATTCACTTTTTTTCTTGATACTTTCCTATCTGGGCTATTTTAGATAAAAATATCTGAAAACATCAGGATAAAGTGTGATATGAATCCTATCTATAATGAAGTTTTTACCAAGATCAGACTCTGAGGAAACTTTCTGACGCTAGTAACGAAAAATGTTTTTTTTTTTTTTTGAAAAATCTAGGAATTTTCAAAAACGCTTTGGATAAAGGCTTTGTAGCCCCAGAAGCTGTGTACAAAATGCACTGTTTAGTTTTCAAAGATTCTATCTCGATGCAAAGTTTTTTAAAACTGAAATTACATACAGTGAAGGTTGATGTCCTTTTTTTTTGTGTCATGTTGTAAACGCAAAAATAAAGCAAGATATTATTTAAAGTATATTTGAATATTGAAAACCATGTTGTTTATTAGTTTAAATAATAGAATAAATTTATTTGTTCTATATTAAACAAACAGTTTTTTTTTCTATATATCACATCAGATTCATTAATAAATGATTAAATTTATTGTCTGCAGTCGCTTTCGTAAATAAAACAAGAAATGTCTAGTGAACTATATGACACAAGAAAATCTTTCAACAAATATATTATATATTATTTACAAATATTAAACATGAAGATAATTCTTAAAGATGTTTTTTTTTCTCCATGGATTATCTATTTAGATTATGCAGGTAGTCCAACAGCAATGATCGATGATGAAATGCATTATTTATATAAATTTTTTACTGATCGTATTCATTATTTAACTAGAATAATAACTCGTTGTCAACAAGAAGGTAAGAATCAGAAGAAAGAAAAATAAATATTACATTTATTCGTTTGATTTTCTCTTTCAGGTCACCATGATAAAGTAGCTAAATATCGACAATTAC